GGGGGGGAGGCGCAAACAGGGTCAACAATCGAAACACGGAATTGCTCAGCCTTCCAGATTGCGGTGAACTGTAAAAGCAAGTAGGCCCAGACGGAAAGAATTAAAAATAACAAACTTATTAAAAAATATGGAGAAAGAGGATTCTTTTACCATGTAGATACTAAATAGTAATAATTATTATAATAATAACAACAATAATAAAAAAGAGCTGTAAGTCAAATTTTTGCACCCATACGTATCTTTCCCTGTATTGAATCCTGTTTGAGATAGTAAAATACATAAACGAATTTCTTCTGCGGATGAAGAATTATAAGAAAGATTAAGAAAGTAAAAAATACAATAATTGCCAGAAAATTTTAATTTGTCAGGATGAATGCAGACGGCAGAACTGATTTCGAAAAAAATGGATTATCAGGTCGGAACGGAAAGGTTCTTTGGAATTCTCTATTGGCTAGCTGCAGGATACATTTTTTAAACGGTATTAAAACCTGATTTGAATTAACAGTCATAGCTTTTGTTGAACTGATATTTCCCCACACTTCATACACTGTAAATTAAAGGAGAGTATGCATCTTTTACTATTCGCATGTAAATATAATTTATGTATTCATATCTTCGCATGTATGTAGATTTGAGTACAATTTTATCGTGTTTGCATTTTGAAATTCATTTTATTTCAAAATACTCTTCAGTTTCCTTATACAGCACAACTGAAATCGCTTCAATTACGGTGAATTCTTTTTGGAATACTTCACTACATGCTGAATTCTTAAATAAATTCCACTTGTCTACATTCGACAACCTGGATTCATGCTTTAAAAGCCCTTCAAGAAGATTTACGAAATATTGAAATAATTGTGTGTATCAAAAAAATAAACCAAAAGTGTTCTAATTAGTTTTCTGTGAGGAACGGAATGATTTTGGACAAAGTATATTGTCTCCGTTGCATCGACGATGATAGTGAAAGATAATAAATAATTTAATTTATGATAATCAAAGAAACTTCTGAGAATCATTAAGAAACTAGTGGAGCCACAGACTAGCACATACTTTCCCTTGATAGTTTCCTTACAGCACGATTCCCTCCTGCCAAGAAAGCACAGAGTGTGCTATCTTCTGGTTGTACCCTATCCACCTCTTAGCAGCCATTGGTACCTAAAATACATTGTTTAAGGCATGTTTTCTCAATTTTTCCTTGAATCCCTAATAGTTGAATGGAAATATGACTTTAATATTGTAGGAGAATTAAACCTGGTTCAATAAGCAAATTTTCATTCAGAAATTT